TAAGAGAATTAGGGCACAGCGGTTTAAGTATTTTACCCAAGGTTGCACATCTCATCAGTAGGGGGATCTGGATTAACCACAATGTATATTTTTAATATTAGTATTTTAAAATACTCACTGATGCTGTGGGTTTTAAGAGATTCCAGGGGGAAGAAGCTTGAGAAATGTTAAAAAAAAAAAAAAAAGGCTAGTCAACTATAATGAGTTTCGATCTGTTAAAACGTAGAGTCAGCGGAATGATGAGGCTTCCTTATTGCTTAGACGCCGTGATCGGCAAACTGGGGCTCTCAAGCCACCTGCGGCTCTTTGACCCCTTGAGTATGGCTCTTCCTAAGCCTTAGGAGTACCCTAATTAAGTTAATAACAATGTACCTACCTATATAGTTTAAGTTTAAAAAATCTGGCTCTCAAAAGAAATTTCAATCATTATACTGTTGATATTTGGCTCTGTTGACTAATGAGTTTGCTGACTACTGGCTTAGAGGATGCATCTGGAACCAAACTGGGAAGCTTAGAGAAAGGAATGACCTTGTGACTCTGTAAACTCAGAGAAGCTGGAGAAACCAGTAGGGACTGAAGGAATGATAAATCCAGACTTGCAGCTACGGGGCTGACAATATCAGGACAGTTAGCTACTATCACCAGAAGCAGCTTCTCAGCTGGGCACTGTCTCAAGTGGCAGCTATTATCCTGATAGACAGCGACCCAGGCAGGCACTATCGCGAGAGACAGATACTGTTGACACAGGCAGCTACTCTCCTGAGAGGCAGCCTGTATCGCGAGAGGATGACACTATTGCGAGAGGCACCCACTATCATGACAGGCAGCTAGCTGTGAAACGCAGCTACTATAGCGAGAGGCAGCTACAGGGGATGGATTATGTCGCCACAGGCATCTGCATGGCCATATCCGTGGCAGGTAATAGTAATAAGGGGGGAAAATACAGTATGGTCTCAAGTGGAAAAATAATTGGTTATATTCATTAAAGGGAGAATAAAGACTCAGCAAGTTGAGGCTGTCTGTTAGAGAAACCCGAGAGTCAATGTAGTAGATGCTTCAATGCAGGCAAGATGCGAATGGCAACTAGATCTTACTCTCATGTCTTAAATCAATTTAAATCAGTAAATAATTAAGCATTGCTGTTATGCAGTACTCTGCATAGAGAAATGAATATATATATATATATATATATATATATATATATATGACATTTTTCCTGACCCCTTGAGGAGACTATAACTTCAGAGATGCACTGTTTAAAGGTACAACCCAGAATAGGATTAAATGTCAAAATAAATGGTAGAGCGCAGTGATCTTCTACAATAGAGGTTGACAAACTGTAGCTCTTGGGCCATATTCAGTCAGCTGCCCGCTTTTCCAAATAAAGCTTTCCTGGAATACAGCCACCGGTTTGTTTCAATATATTCTGTGGCTGCTTTCTTGCTGCAGTGCAGAGTTGAGTAGTTGTAACTAAGCCTGCAAAGCCTAAAGTATTTACTGTCTGGCATTTAGGAGGATAATATTTGCTGACCCCAGCTCTAGGATTTCAGAAGAGGGAGACTGTAGTATGTGATGGAAGAATTGAACAAGGCTTCAATGAAAGAAGTAGATATGTTTTGGAGCTGAAAGATAGATAGTATTTAAAGTGAAAGGAGCAGATGGCCATTGTAAGTGCCACAAAACTCAAAAGCAAAAGCAAACACTAAGATAAATACTAAAGTCTGCTGAAGTATAAGAATCATTTCACTGTGTATAATTCATATACTATTTTAACCATTTGCCTATGAGTGTATTTTTTTTAAGTATGCATCTAGAGCAGTGATTCTTCACCTTGAGACATTTGAGTTCATTGGTGAACTGCTTAAAGAAAAGATTTTTGTTTTATCAATAATCTGTGATACTAAAATATTGTTCACATGGAAAATCACTATTCTGGAGTATTTACTCATTGGACAAAATTGATTATTTTCTGCTGAGGACAGAGAATATATTTTTTTCCCCATGTTGTCTCTACCTTCATAAAGTGCATGCATACTGAACATACACTAATACTTTTTGCTAATAACCAGGAGGTGCAAAGTGATCCACTGCCTATGCCTTGCCTGGGGCCATCCGGCAGGAGCTACAGAGTGATCTACAGATGCCTGCTACTTTTGTTGGGCTTAGATGTGCCCAGGAGAGGCCAAGGTGTGAAGCAAGGCAGGCTGCTGCTAGTGCTGAGCTTGGGGCCTCTTACTGATAGGTATGGGGCATGCGGACACCAGCTGCTGCTTATTTGAGAGATTTTAGTAAAGTCTGAAGCCTGAGTCAGGACAGGCCATTCATATGGAAAAACTGCTGCAAACAGCTTTGGTGGGGATGCAAATTGGATGAGGCTGGAATCTCAGGAAATCACCAGGATGGAGCGAACAGTGTGAGCCAAGCTGATGGAAACTCAGACATGGTGCCTGCGTCTGTGAAGTGGGGGGTCTCAGCCTAGGAACAATGACCTTTGCCAGCTCTTTTGTCTGGGAGGAAGCTATGCCCTGAGTTCTTGCCCAGTGACAGGTAATCCAGGTCCTCCCAGTATGTCCCTGGATCACCCAAAGCCGCTGCTCCTGTGTTGAGGGATCTGGTGTGGGGCTGGAACTCCTTGCTCCTAATGGGAGACCTCTGCAGCCTAGCTATCCCTCCTAATTTCCTGGCTGGCATGTCTCCGTGGTTGAGCATTGACCTATGAAGCAGGAAGTCATAGTTTGATTCCCAATCAGGGCACATACCCAGTTTCAGGCTTCATCCCCAGTGTGGGGGATGAAGGAGACAGCCAATCAATGAATCTCATCATTGATGTTTCTCTCTCTTCCTCTCCCTTCCTCTCTGAAGTAAATAAAAATATATTAATTTATATAGTTGTAGGACTTCCATTAAGCCAGCTTTCAGGCAGTTCTGAATTGTGGTTCTGTATTTTAGTTGTCATTTTAATGTGATTGTGAGAGGCGGTGAGTACTAGCATTTACCTATGCTGCCATCTTGGTTTCCTCCTGTTTCTATTATTCATATAGTTCCCAGTTACTTATTGCATGGTATCTTCAATGTAGCAGTTAAGTGCTTGCATGCATTTACCTAAAGGGATGGCCTCTGTCAGAAGGAAAACAAAGAATCAATGCAAGTTAATATGAGTTTCTTTTTCTGAACTTAAAAAGCAGCAGGTACTGCAGAAATATTTGCATATCACTATTAGATATGACAGTATAGGAGATAAATGAGTAGATAGGAAAAGGTGAATGTTTCGAAGAAGCCTCAAGGAGTATAAGAAAATGTAAGTCCATCACTGTGGGCAATATTAGCATCTCTGTGGAGAGTAACCTGCTGCATGGAGAATATTAATTACACAAGGTAATGGCCTGCCACTGGAGGATTTACAGATCTAAAGCTGATCTAAAAATTATTTTATTTTTTATCTTTAATTTTTAAATAACGTGTTAATTTAAGAAAAAAAACGCTGCATGGAGGAGTCATGAAAATTTTAATTGTGTTTTAAATATTTTTATCAATAACATAGATTTGTGACTCTATCTCAATAAGGTACCTAAGTTCATTACCTATGGACCTTTCATTAATTAGAAAAATATTTTAAATGCTTAGAAATCTAATTTTACTTTAGTATTTGTGATCAAAATTATTATGCATATTTGATCTAGAACTTCATTTAAGAGTGAGTATTCCATTCAACTTTTTTAGTCTATAAGCTATTTTAAATTATTTCATGTTTTATTGGGCCTCTTGCTTTACTAGCTTTGGCCTGGAAGCAATATTACTTATTTTCTCTTGAGCTACGCACTCAGATATTGAGTTGCGGTCTATGAAATCTAAATTTGAACATGTAACTTTTTGGCATTCTCTTGGTGTCCTAAGGATTCTCACAAGGACTTACTCAGGTTTTTGGCGTTCGAAAAGGGGAAAGAGAAATGGATATAGGGGTTTTATATGCATCACCTCCTGAAAGTCATTATCTGGCAACCTCAACATGTCTGTAACATGAGGGAATACTATCAGTTATTATTACTACCTACTAATAGTATTTTATAGGAGAGAGTTGATGGGAAAAACAAGAAATTCTCCATTTAAAAATCATTAAAATTAAAATGATTGGGGGTAATAATAAAATTATGTTTTATTAAAATCATTGGGGGTTATAATAAAATTACGTAGGTTTTAAGTGTACAATTCTATAATACATCTTCTGTGTATTGCTGCATGTGTTTATTATCCAAGGTCAAGTCTACCTCCATTACTATGACCTTCTTTACCCTTTACTAAATGCTCCATTGTGAACTGAACACTTTTATAGACAGATTATGAGCACAGACCATCTATTTATTTATAAGGCGATGTATAATATATAAGCTGCAGTTTGCCAAAGCCAACGGTCTAAGGCCAATAATTCAAATAAAGCTAAGTTGTGCAAATTAGGTTTTCCTGTATTATTGGGCTTCTTTCACAAAAGTGGAAATAGAGAATCAAGTTGAAAACATACTAGGATTCTGACCAACAATCCTACTGAAGGTTATTAGTCCTGAAATTAACAAACATAATATTGCCGGATTGTCTATTGGGGTGAGAAAAGTTTTTACGTGAATATTTTGGCTCCTGAAAAGGACCGTCTTTTGTAATGAAGTCATTAATGATTTAAAGGAAGTGGTTCTGATGTGCTCTTTATTTTATTAAAAGGCATCAGAATAATATAGGGTGGTTGAAGTGCCATGATTCTGTAACTTTATTTCATTAGAGAATTAAACTTTTTTAAAAAATCATACATTATTTTGCCTGTAGAGCCATCTCCTTTTTATATTCCTGAGAAGTCTCTGAAATTCCTAGAAATCTGAAAATAAAAACACACAACCACATACTTTTTCAATTTTTCAGTATAATTTTGTTTCAAATATGCCGGTGATGACTAATAAAAACTTTTCTCTACTTTCGTTTGACACTGATTTTCACCTTCTTTCTTTTCTTTACAGTTGTTTGTAAGAGGAATTTCCTGATACGACTGAAAACAGGTATGTGGAGAGAAGTATGTGCCAAGATTGGCACACATTCAGATGCTGAGGTGGCTGCCTCTGTGAAACAAGTACACGGTGTATCGCACAATTATGCCAATCATGATGCCGCCAACGTTGCCAGGCATTCTTATCTTTGCTCTGTACTCCTGTTCTTGAGTGTCATGAATGGTGCTGCCATTGCTCCAGAAATCTGCCTTTGGTCTGTTTCTGAAGCAGTATCCTAATCAACAGAAAGACTTGTTTTTTTTTGGACTTCATCTTGGTCATCAGACTGGATTTATCCTGTGAACTCTACTAGTAAGTACCAGAGAGGCTAAAAAGATGGGTCTGTTGGAGCTGCTTATTGCCTCATCTTGGACCCTGGCCTGGTTCTTGCTCCATGACTTGACTCTGTTGAATCTTGGCATTGACTCTGGCCAGGACCTAGTGACTGTTCCCTGAAATGCCCTTCAGCTTTACTGGAAGGAGAAACTACAAATGATAGTCATGGGAACCTAACAGTTGCCAAAAGCCAGACTGACAAAGAAAAACATAAAGGGCAAGCAACAGCATGATGCCTGCAGTAACAGGCTGGTAGCTTTACCGCTCTAGGCTTGTGACCTTTACACATAAATACATAGAGTAGGGATTTCATTGTACAGCATTTTGCTTGTTATTTAAGTAAAGAATTGGAGGCACATATTAATGTATTTATTGAGGGTAGGAAGCACCCTATAGTGCCGAAATAACATCATTTTATGGAAATTCTCTTTTGCTCCCGACCAAAGCATTTATCATTTACTTTGAACTGAACTAAAAAAGTAAACAACTACAGAAATCATTTGCCGTGCAGTTCAGATAGTCCAGTAGAACACTAAGAGTGTCTGAATTAGCATTTATCCTTTATAAGTAAGCTCTTAGTTTTTCCTATTTTAATATTTCTTTAAAACATGTTTTTATTGATTTCAGAGGGGAAGGGAGCAGAAGAGAGAGAGAAACATCAATGATGAGAGAGAATCATTGATCAGCTGCCTCCTCCACACCCTGTCCTGGAATCAAGCCCAACACCTGGGCATGTGCCGTGACCTCCTGGTTCATAGGTGGACGCTCAACTGAGCCACATCAGCCGGGCTATTTTAGTTTTTTTTTAATTAAAAAAATGTCGAGTTAGATGTTTTTTACAATACCAAAAAAAAAAAAAAAAAAATACCCAGTTTATTTTTAAGTTACATTATTTGTATTTTATTGTGTAAAAATAACCCTGTCATCTTCTTAAGACTGCTTGATTATGTTTCTTAGTTATTCAATTAGTTCAAGTCAGCTGTTTGTAAGGGCAAAAATAATGTTCAATAGAATGAGAAAGGGGGACTAACTTTTATTATGGAGAAAAGTGTTGTCCATGGAAATTAGAAGAATTTTAGCATTTCCAGAATAAGCCCATTTTATGAGAAAAGCTAAAACACATGTATTTATTTCCACAGTTTTCCTAACATTAATTATTTAAAAGGTATCTCAAACTCATTTCTTCTGTTATACTTAATAACATATTTACTAGCATCATTACTCCATTAAAAGTCATATTCTGCTTGAGAACTTACTTCAAATGAGTGATAGTTTATAGATTTTAATTGTTACATGTTGTGGCATAAATACAATCTTTGGAGGAGTGGCTGGCTAACTTTATTAAATAATTAATGTATATTTTTTTCTAATACATAATATTTTGAGTTAATATGTAGTGTGAGGATGAAATTGCTTCTCTCTTTTTAGCATTACTTTTAGGCCCATTTCTTCATAAAATATGTAATAAAAAAATTTAATATGCATATATTATTGCTCTATTCTTCACATCTTTAGCCATGGGAATATATTACTTAAATTAGTGCACACTCTAAGATTTATAAAGGCAAAATGGTTTCTTCTTATTAAGTATATGCACCCTCTCATTTATCATCTATAATAATAAAAACATAATATGCAAATTGACTGAATGGCTGAACAGCAGAATGACCTTCCGGACTACCTTGCAGACAAAGCCGCGGCTGCGAAGGCCTACTTTTGCACAAATTTTGTGCATTGGGCCTCTAGTTATTAATATACTCATAATATTCTACTTGGCTTTGGACAGGCACTAGCTTCCAATCTACAGTTATTCAGGCAATGCCTAAGTTCATAATTTTTCACACTTATTTGATTACACATGCCATTTTTGAACAGAATTTTATAACACTGGAATTTTATGAAGCACCATTTAGCAACCATAGTCTTGAGGAAAGAACTTTGTGTTTAAGACCAAATAGACTTTTGAAAGTATTATTTATAAAGCCCTCAATGTGCTTGAAGAGGAACTAAATTTGAATTTCATTTTCAGAGTTCTAAACATGTGACATATTCTCAGGTGTTTTATAATGCATATCAAAGTAGGTAGCCCTGTCCCCATTTTCATAATAAAATAACAAACATCAAGACCATATGGGGTAATAAAATTTTAATATTGATATCCTATCTAATAGAAGGAATATGCTAATTGACCTTCACACAGTCACAAAGATGATGGTGCCCAAAGCCAATAAGGAGCGAATATGCTAATTGACTGCCCAGCCCTCAAAGATGGCAGCGCCCACAGCCACAAGATGGCCGGCAGGGGAGGGCAGTTGTGGGCAATCAGGCCAGCAGGGCAGGGCAGTTAGGGGCAACCAGGCTGGGAGGGGAGGGCAGTTGGGGGCAATCGGCCTGGCAGGGGAGCAGTTAGGTATCGATCAGGCTGGCAGGGGAGTGATTAGGGGGTGATCAGGCTGGCAGGCAGAAGTGGTTAGGGGCAATCTGGCAGGCAGGCAGGCGAGCTGTTGGGAGCCAGCAGTCCTGGATTGTGAGAGGGATGTCGGACTGCCTGTTTAGGGGATCAGGCCTAAATCAGCAGTCGGACATCTCCGAGGGGTCCCAGATTGGAGAGTGTGCAGACTGGGCTGAGGGATATCCTCTCCCAGTGCACGAATTTCCTGCATCAAGCTTCTAGTAATAATAATAAAAAACAAAATGATAAATGGGATTATTGAGGTGGGGACTTAATTGTTGAGACCTGGGGTCTGGCCTAAAAGACTCAAAACTATTTAAATCTGATTTCATTACTAGAGACTACATGAACACTTCCCAAGGGAGGTTACTATGGTTATTTTGTTAATTATCAGTACTGTTTATGTGCTTCTCTGATAAGTGGATTTCACAGATTTCCTTAAACACACAACTCAGCATCTCTCAATGATTTTTCTCACCACATTCTAAAGTTTTATTTTATATACCTCATGCTCAAGCATTTATTAAATTATATGGCTAACCAATATACATTTTAAAATATGGATGCTTAGTATTATTTTGCTAATTGTGTTTCCATAGAATCTCATTCCATTGTTCCTACCATGACTGAGACCAATGAAATTAAAAATGTTGTATTCAATAATGGGACTAAAAGATGAGTAAAAAGTCACCTGCATTCAAGAAGCACAGACAAGTTTCCTAAACTTTGACTGTTTGCCAGTCTACTGAAATAGTCACTGGACTTTTCCTTTCACACTTCCTACATCTTCCAAGGAAATGAAAATAAAGATATGCAAAGCTAATTCTTTTAAAGTAAAATATTCTCTTCCAATTCCAAAATGAATGACTATTAGCAGTCTTAATTGTTCAGTACACACTCTTAGGGTGGGTGTGTGGTCCTCATTCTTAATAGTGGCTTTGGTAATAATGTCCACATGGGTATTAAGATCAAGCAATTCCCAAGAGAAATGCTTGTGACTTTTGATTGCTGATACCATCATCCCCGGAGTTCCTCACAACTCATTTTTTTTCCTTGATTTTGTCGGAATCACCTATCTACAGTGAATGTTTTACATAAATGGTATCGTTGATAGGAGAATGGTGTTTTACTTGGGAGTTGGCTACACTTTCTATGTGAAATTTTATGCTAATATAATTTCCAGATTTTTCTATTCTTACATTTTCCCATTTACAACACTTGATTATAAAGAACTATTCACTTGGTCCATTTTATTTCTCATGTATCCTAAAAACTCTACATGTTAGATTTTTTTGAGTGACTTCTCACTTTGACATGAAGATTTTATCGAATACTTTTTGTTGAAATACACATTTAGCCTTTGCAAAATCTGATTTACGAGATATACCCTTTTTATTTTCAGATTGGTAAGATTCAAACAAAGGAAAATTTAAGTTCTAGATTTGAAGGCTTAATATCATGGATTTTACACAACCTGTCCATACAAATTGAATCACACACTCAAAGGAACTTAGATGTTGTTTAGCCCAGTATTTCACCCAGTGTTAATCCTACTGAATCTATGAAAAGTGATTAGCCAGCTTAGTGAGAAGGTTTGCCTGCACACAGTGAGCTCATCCTCTACAGGCAGCTCATATTTTCTTAGCCAGCCTTATTAGTTAGTAAGGTTATTTTAGTACTAGTGGCCCGTTGCATGAAATTCTCGCACTGGGGGTGTTGAGGGGTTCTTCGGCCGGGCCTGCGCCCTTTTGCAGTCCGGAGATAGGGTCTAAGCCAGCAGTCGGACATCCCTCTCACAGTCCAGGACCCTTCACTCCTTACTGCTCGCCTTGCTCCCACTATTGCTCCTCACGGAGGCGGGAGAGGCTCCCACCACCACTGCTGTGCTTGCCAGCCGTGAGCCCGGCTTCCTGTGGGAGTGCACTTGACCACCAGGGGGAAGCTCTCCTGCGTTGAGCATCTGCCCCCTGGTGGTCAGTGCACATCATAGCGACCAGTCGTTCTGGTCATTCTACAGTAATGGTCGCTTAGGCTTTTATTATATAAATTAGCCTGGGAGGGAAAGTGCCTATGAATTGTGTTCTTTACTTTTTTAAATGTGTGTTGTTGTTTTTTTAATTATTGGTTTTAGAAAGAGGAAGGGACAGGGAGAGGGAGAGAGAGAAAAACATTGATGAGAGAGAGAAACATTGATTGGTTGCCTCGATATACTCCTCTGAATGGG